CGACCGCGGGATTGCGAAAGCAGGCGCGCAAACCACGAGACAACTTCCAAAGGCCGTTTCGCGAGCAAGAATATTGCACGGCGCCACAGCGAGAGCGCTTCGACACGCACAATCTCCGCAGAGGGTTCGCCGAGACTAAGACAAATTCGCACGGCGCCACAGCGAGAGCGCTTCGACGCGCACGATCTCCGCAGAGGGTCGCGCGCGGCTTGCAGAAATCGTAAAAAGTCCTCAGTTTTTGAACCTCGACCACGCGAATCTCCGCAGAGGGTCGCGCGCGCATGCCAAAAATCGTAAAAAATTCCCGGGTTTTTGAACCTCGACCACGCGAATCTCCGCAGAGGGTCGCGCGCGCATGCTCAAATCGTAAAAAGTCCTCAGTTTTTGAGCCTCGACCACGCGAATCTCCGCAGAGGGTTGCGCGCGCACCGCAGAAATCGTACAAAGTGCTCAGTTTTTGAACCTCGACCACGCGAATCTCCGCAGAGGGTCGCGCGCGGCCAGCAGGAATCGTAAAAAGTCCTCAGTTTTTGAACCTCGACCACACGAATCTCCGCAGAGGGTCGCGCGGGCATGCTAAAAATCATAAAAAGTCCTCAGTTTTTTGACCTCGACCACGCGAATCTCCGCAGAGGGTTGCGCGCGCATGCTAAAAATCGTAAAAAGTCCTCAGTTTTTGAACCTCGACCACGCGAATCTCCGCAGAGGGTCGCAATCCCGAGCGACGATCAAACTCCCGCCCCGGCGCCTTAGAAACCTAAACTAACTTACATAGCTGCTAACGCCGAAGCTCTAAGCTCTACCTAACCTTGGCTCTATGTAACTTGGCTCTATGTAACTTGGCTCTATGTAACTTGGCTCTATGTAACTTGGCTCTATGTAACTTGGCTCTATGTAACTTGGCTCTATGTAACTTGGCTCTATGTAACTTGGCTCTATGTAACTTGGCTCTATGTAACTTGGCTCTATGTAACTTGGCTCTATGTAACTTGGCTCTATGTAACTTGGCTCTATGTAACTTGGCTCTATGTAACTTGGCTCTATGTAACTTGGCTCTATGTACTTGGCTCTATGTAACTTGGCTCTATGTAACTTGGCTCTATGTAACTTGGCTCTATGTAACTTGGCTCTATGTAACTTGGCTCTATGTAACTTGGCTCTATGTAACTTGGCTCTATGTAACTTGGCTCTATGTAACTTGGCTCTATGTAACTTGGCTCTATGTAACTTGGCTCTATGTAACTTGGCTCTATGTAACTTGGCTCTATGTAACTTGGCTCTATGTAACTTGGCTCTATGTAACTTGGCTCTATGTAACTTGGCTCTATGTAACTTGGCTCTATGTAACTTGGCTCTATGTAACTTGGCTCTATGTAACTTGGCTCTATGTAACTTGGCTCTATGTAACTTGGCTCTATGTAACTTGGCTCTATGTAACTTGGCTCTATGTAACTTGGCTCTATGTAACTTGGCTCTATGTAACTTGGCTCTATGTAACTTGGCTCTATGTAACTTGGCTCTATGTAACTTGGCTCTATGTAACTTGGCTCTATGTAACTTGGCTCTATGTAACTTGGCTCTATGTAACTTGGCTCTATGTAACTTGGCTCTAACTGGCTCTATGTAACTTGGCTCTATGTAACTTGGCTCTATGTAACTTGGCTCTATGTAACTTGGCTCTATGTAACTTGGCTCTATGTAACTTGGCTCTATGTAACTTGGCTCTATGTAACTTGGCTCTATGTAACTTGGCTCTATGTAACTTGGCTCTATGTAACTTGGCTCTATGTAACTTGTCCAAGGGCTCCGCACGGAAGAACCCTTCGCGATGCTTTCGGGAAAAATCAATGCAACGCACACGGCGAATAGCAACAAGTCGGGCTGACACGAATGAACGGGGCGTTCCTGCCCCGGGTCCTGGCGCGGCCAGAAAAAGCTCAAAAGGCCGCACGCGGTGCAAGGCCTTCTTCTTGGCGGAGCAAGGCAACCTGAGCGCGGCCTCAGGGAAAGGCCACGGAGATGATTCTCGCTGAGCCTCAAGGCAAGCACGCGGCGCAAGGCCTTCTTCTTGGCGGACCAAGGTAACCTGACCCGCGGTGTCAGGCCAAGGCGCTAAGAGGGTTCTCTCTGGGCTGAGATCCCTAATCCATTGGTGGGAGTGCGGGGCACTACCTCACCGTTTCGCAACGGAGGCGTCAAAGGCGTGAGTGGCGCCGCGCTTGGCGTAGACTCACTGGAAGGCTCAAAGAGACCCTCATGGCTAGAGGCTCCGTCCAAGAGAAATGAAGGGATGTGCAGGAAACTGACGTGAAATGGGAAGCGAGGTTGAAGTCACGGGAACTACAAAGACCTAAGGGAAAGGATTGCGAATGACGGGGCGCTCAAGGAAATGAAGGGAGCTGAAACGGAAGTGAAGCGAAAGGAAGTGAAGGGACATGCCAGGAAACTGTCAGGGAAGACGTGTAAAGGAAGTGAAGTTCAAATCCCGGGAACTAACGGGACTTAAAGGAAAAGGAAATGAAAGAACGGGAAAAACAAAACCCGGTGGCCGGCTGTGTCGCGTCAGCGTGCAAATCCGGCTACGCCTCCTGGGGTAGCATGTCGCCGCTAGCCAATTAGCCTGCTAGCTTCAGCTATAATATAGGAGCTGCACCCGTGTGCCGCCGGCCCTCGTCACTTGGTCGTGATGCGTTGCCTAAATCCGGCACCTCTGCATCACCAGCTCGGGCTTGCGGTTTTGCTTGCCTGTGGGAAGCCCTGGCAAAACATCGCGTATATGCAGGGTTTAGGCCATGTGGCTGACATCGTCAGGGTCTGGCCTGGGTGATACTTCAGCGGGGCTTGGTCTGCATCATCAAGACTTCCAAAAAGCCTCTCAACCCATGAAGCACTGTTTTTGAAAGGTATCGGAGGGCGAAAGGCGAGGTTCATTTTCGCGCATTTTGGCGCCGCTGCCGGGCACAAAACGCTGTAAATACCTTCAAAAACTGCTGTGCTGAGCGGTGGGCTGTTGTTCTGTCCGTTTTGCTTTTGCTGTGGCTGGCTCGCGTGCTGCGCGTCCTTGCTTTTCTCCCGTTGGTTTTCGGGCCTGCTATTTTACGGCGCGTTTTTGCATTTGCGTTTCCGGGCTGCTTGCGCGCGCGCGCGACCCCGTGTCAGCCTTCTGGGTTGGGGCCCGGCTGGGGCCCAGAAAGCTGGCATCCCCGGCATCATCTGGGGCAACACGCATAACCTAACCAGCCATATCATAGCACAGGATACGTTTCTCACAACAAAAACATGACATGACATGGTATAACTTCAAAGAGGCGTAGCCGGCCACAGGCCGCAGGCCCAGATAAATATAAATGTAAATATATGTATATATATATACATATATATGGTCCCGTGTTCCGTGTTGCACCCCCCCCCCCCCCCCATGCGGGGTCGCCCAAGACCCCCCCCCCCGCCCGAGACCCCGAGCCCCCGGATCCTGTCACCTACGGTCTCACCCCCGCTCCCCTGAACTCGCACCCCGACACCCCGGCACCCCGCCCCCAGGACCGCAAGCAACCATAAACCAACCCTAAACCAACCCTAAACTAACCCTAAACGAACCCTAAATACCCCCTAAACCAAACCCTAAACCGTAGACCTCTAAACCTAAACAAACCCTAACCGTAAACTAACCCTAAACCAACCCTAAACTAACCCATCCCTAAACAATAAACCCTAAACCTAAGCCAACCCTAAACCAAGCCTAAACTAACCCTAAACCAACCCTAAATACACCCTAAACCAAACCCTAAACCGTAAACCTAAACCAACCCTAAACCAGCCCTAAACCAACCCTAAATCAACATAAACCAACCCTAAACCAGCCCTAAACTAACCCTAAATTCACCCTAAATATACCCTAAACCAATTCTAAACCAACCCCAACCACAGGACCACAACCACAGGGGGGGGTACTTGTCTGACCCATGACCATTGGTGGGGGGGGGGGGGCTGGCAACACTGTACCATATATATATACATATTTACATAGGTATGAGATTAAGCAAATCCAAGTCATTGCCCAGGCCTCCCCCAAAAAGATAGATCCAAAAAGCACGTAGGCAAAACCAGATAAGTCAGAATCCAGACCTCGCCGCAAATCAGGTTGAACCACGCGCAGGTTGAGTGCCCTTTCCCACCTGAAAGCTTGTGATCTGTGGCATTTCATTTGTGAAAAGGGGTGGATATCAGGGGGTGCGGGGGGGCGGTTGCGCAATCCAGGGCTAGTTCTGGAGATTAGCAAATCTGGGACGATTGACCAAACGGGATGTTGGGCCCCACCGTGAATTCCCAATTCTAAAGTACTATTTGCTAAGTTGCTACAAACCTGAATGTCTCAAATATGCAATTTTGAGCAATGTTGAGCAGATTTGTACAGATTTTAATCATTGCGCACATTTGAGCAATTCGAGGTTTGTCCTGCCGGCGTGCGAGCAAACAAATCACATGCATTATGTTTGTCTGTTTAGAACTTGCTTTGTGTTCGTGTAGTTTTCGTTTCATCACAGTCGCAGTCACAGTGAGTGTCAATTCAGACCAACCCAGGAAAATGTGAAAGCAGGGCAAACATAACGCTTTGAGCGCCCCCTTCCCATTTGTCCAAACAAATATGGCTTCAAAAACTTACTTCACCAGAAAAAAGTCAACCGTAAGCAAACAAATGTAACTCGAACACCAAACTTTTTGGAGGGTTTTCTCGAAAACCTGATGTAAGACCCTCCCGATCTAGACCCCGTTTCGGATGCCTGCTTTGCTTCTCCCAGTTGCGGGGCCCAATTCTGCTGCGGGTGTTCTTTTTGTACCCTGTGGGGTGAACCAAGGAAAGCTGTCGCTTGCGCCCATGTGGCAAAGGTTGCCCACCTTTTGAGAACCAAAAAGATGATGCTTGGCTAGCTGCGGCTACCGATCGTGGCTGGGATCCACTGGCCCATTTCTCGGCAAAGCCATACTTGCTGCCACGGGGCGCGACCTTCCGCCGCGTCTCTCGGCTCTTCTCGCGGGGCGCCGGGGAGAAGACCGGAGCCTGCAAACGCAGGCGAGCCGCTTACCAAGCGCACATTTGATTGCACATTTGCTACGCGCGGGCACGACTTGCAACTTTGTCTGGCTAGAGGCCGGCTATTCGCGTGTTCCGAAACTGTTGTTGTTCTTTCCTTCCCTCGTCCTGCAATGTTTTGGGGCTTACGTTGCAGCACAAGCTCGGAATCGCCACCGTTCACACGACATTTCGGCAGCTCCAGCCCGTTGGCAGCTCAAAATCGCAACCTATCAGTTCAAACAAGCGCAACACACAAAGTGCATGCTTTGGCGGCCCCAGCTTCAAAACCGCAACTTTCGGTGCAAGCACAGTGTGCAAAGCACAGTCTGGCAGCTCCAACGCGAAAACCACAACTTGCAGGACACTTGTACACAAGATTGTTATGCCATGCGGAGCTCCAGCTCGAAACTCGTTTTATCCAAAATTTATATGTATGAATTGTTTTTTTATATGTCATACAAGTTACTTGCTCATAACTCGCTTCCCGTCTAATTTGTCGAAGGCAATGGGCCCTCAGCAGGCCTAGGCACCGAGATGTGGCCAACATGTCGCCAACAACCAATAATGTTGGCACCGCTGATTCTTTTGCACCTTTCTGTAGCCCAAAGCTAAATAGCAATCGACCTCCAATCTCTGACTTGGAGCCTCCTCGATGTGGTCCGCAGTCTGCATCTGCAAAGCGCACGTGAGGCCGCGCAAACCCCCTCCTTCATGCTAAATACGCCAGAGCCTCCCTGTTACTGTAAAAGTCCTAGAGGAAATAGCATACTCTCTGGGACTGTTCCACACCGAGTGATGGAAACATGATCAGTAACCTCAGCAATGAACTGAAGACTGAGGAGGAGCCTAAACTCACAAACAAAAAGGGCTGAGCTTGGAAGGCAAGCACGTCGGGGCCATGCCCCTGCAAGCCCCACCTTGACCGGCTCCTCCGTGGCCTCAAAGCAGTGTCGCCACTGTAAACCAAGATGCGTCTCTTCTTGGAGTTCACTGGTAAAAAAAACACCACTTCCCTGCTCCGATCTGTTTCGCCTGTCCCACCCGACGGGCGTGTGTGCTCTGATTGAACGCCTCAGGGTCGCAGCCTACTGCCCGACGCTTGCAATCCGAGTAGCTCCCTGCCAACTTGCCAACCTGCAAGCCCGCCCTGGTCACTCGGGTAATTTTCACTTTCCGAAAGGTTGCAAGGTTAAAGGTCACAACCATGATCAAGCTTGACGCCACTCAAATTTGCAAAACTCAGTTTCCAGTGAAGGTACCCAAAAAGCAACTCTGCAAAACTCACAGAGGCGCCCCTTAGCGCTGGCCTCTTCGATCATGGCCTCGTTCAGCCGCCTAGCCTCCATCCACACGAGAAACAAAACATGGCACGCCATGGGCCGGAACCCGCACAATACCCATGGACAACATCATAGAAGGCAGAATGGCAAAACAAAGATCCGATTTTGGGTCACCACGTGCTAAAGGACTTCTCAAGGTTTTTCAGGGTGTGGCGGTGGAAAATCGCAGACGGGTGGGGGCCTCCCTTTCGCCAAGGTCAATACGGGGACCTGTGACCAAGAGCTGTCGGGCCCTTCCTGACCATTCTGAGCAAGGGTTCTAATTTCTGATTGACGGTTCTGTGGGCCCTGGCCCTTGCAAGCCCTGCCTTGACCGGCTTCTAACAGTCTTGATGCCTTACCCTGTTGGATGTTGGAAACCACTTTTTAGGGGGGTTGCCCGTCTGGCTAAAAACCTTGAACCCTCAGGGTTGCAGCCTACTGCCCGACGCTTGCAATCCAAGCAGGCAAACAGGTCCCTGCCGGCTCTTGAGCCCGCGCTACTCACCCAAAAATGCTGTGTGGACTGGCCCAACTGCCCCCTGACTAGGAGAACGGGTGGAAGTTCTTTTTGAAGGTTGCTCTGCGCAAGTGCTGTCTGCGAGTGCTCTGCGCAAGTTGCTTTGCGCAAGTTGCTTTGCGCAAGCTGCTTTGCGCAAGCTGCTTCGAGCAAGTCTTCTTCGCAAGATGTTCCGCACAAGCGTTTTGCGCAAGTTGCTCTTTGCAAGATGCTCTGAGCAAGTCGCCCTGGGCAAGTGCTCCATGCAAATTGCTCTGCGCAAGTGCTCTGCGCAAGTGCTCTACGCAAGTTGCCCTGCACAAGTTGTTCAGTGGAAGCACTCTCTGCGCCAGTTGCTCTGCGCACGCGCTCTGTGCAAGCCCTCTCTGCAACTTGCTCGGCGCTAAGTTCTGTTGCGCAGGTTGCTCGGCGCAAGTGTGCGCGTACTCATGTATGTCCTTCTCCGGTGATGCAACTTCTGACCCGCGCAAAAAAAGGGAAGCAAACGTCCTCAGTTCCAACGCAGAAACCGCCATCCGCCAAGCTCAGAGCCAGAACCGGGGAACTCCCACCAAGTGACCTATCCCAAAAGAAAGCGCTGCGCAAGTGTTCCACGAAACTTGCTCTGTGGAAGTTACTTTGCGCAAGCGCTCTGCGCCAGCTGCTCTGCAAAACTTCTCTGTGCAGGTGTGCTGCGCAAACTGCTCAAAACTGATTGCTCTGCACAAGTGCCCTCTGCAAGTGCTCTCTGCAAGTTGCTCTGCGAAAGCATGCGCGTGACTGGCCTAAGAGCAGAAACATTCTGCGAGTTCACATTGACTGATTAATTCCAAGTTCCCTTGGGAACCGGTGAGCACATCAATGTTCTAGTGATCCTTGACGGAGCCACAACACCCAGGCAGGTTGGGTGCTAAAAGAATGAACAACAAACGGACAGCCCAGCAGCTTCAAGAAGTGGATCCAAGTTAGCAGTTCAAACAAAGGGTGGGCCGTGTTCCACATGGACCTAAAAACGGCTTTCCTGCAAGGTGAAGCCTGTGACAAACATCGAGGCATAATTTGCCAGATTCCACCAGAAACGGGTTGCCCCCCCATAGAAAGAAGGCCGTACGAAGAAACCTGCTTACGGACACGGATCCAGTCTTGGAAACAACGCCCATGGTAGACATGTCCACGGTGTCATGTCCTTGCATGTAGATGATCTTCTCATGGCAGGCGACGATACCTTCGGCAAACAGATCATGGCCAAGATCCATAAGAATTTCCAGGTAGGTTCCAAGGAAGAATGACTGTGTCTTCGTTGGACGGCGACTCCACTGGAAACATGATCTACAGCACGGAGATTACATCAATGTTCACCAAAACGTAGCCATAGATGAACTCCAAGAGATTCACCTCGAAAACACCGGAAGGACAATGCGCAGCTGAATCCAGCTATGCACACCGCGTGTGTGCGTGGACAGATACATTGACCCCAGTCTAGCCAATTTCACATTGGCTATCAACTGCATCGAAGGCCTCATCTCCCGTTATTGGTGATATGAAAGCCATAAACAAGACTGTCAAAACCCATTAAGAGCATTCCTCTGAGTATGAGGTTCTGGCCTCTTGAAGGCAAAACCAGATTAGTTGGATACCCTGATGCATCTTATAGAGTGATGACAAATCATCGCAGCCTGCACATGTGATTCTTCTTGCGCAAGATCGGAATCTTCGTAAAGATTCGCCGAATTCCAGACGGTCCCTTGTTGACTATGAAACTCATAAGATCACGGCAGCTACCATGTCCACTACTGTGGCAGAGTTGCACGGACTGATGCGATGTTTCGGCAATATCTTTTCATTCGGGGACTCTGGTCAGACATATCTGGTGAACTTGCAGATGTCCATATTTGCACTGATGCAAACAACTTAGTAACCACTGCATCAACAACCCATCAACCTTAGCAGAAAGAAACCATGCACCTTATCCAAATGCTCCGTACAGGGTAATAGTGGTCAGATGCATGATCCCGCCCATGTACGTTCATAATATTGTCTTGCAGATTGTTTGACGAAGAGCCCTGCCAAGGCCGGCGAACTCAAAACGATCATGACAGGTATTCTTCCACATGTTGATTTGCATCCACCTTTCCGGACAATGATTCAGAATAAGGCGTTCTTGGTTGAAGGGTTGGCCTGCAATACCCCGCGTTTGCGCATTCCCAGCAGAGAATATCTCATATGACGTGCACCGTTTCTGGCGTTCATTTGTGTCTGCTCCCGCAGCCATTACTTTCAAGCGAGCTTGACCCTGGTCCGTTACAACGTTGTGGCGCAACCTCGGAATTGTAGGGGCGCAGCTTGTCAGACCTCCAGATCCTGCTTCTCAACAGTAAAGCTGGAAGAGGAGAAGTCCGCCATCGATGAGGACGAAGATGGCTTCTTCTAGGAAGCCGAATACTAAACCAGATTCTGAGGCAGAGCAGCAAAAAGATCTTATTCGACTGGTAGAAAGAGAATCTGATTTAGAAGGGGACGAACCAGAAGGTCCTCAAGAACCTGTTCGTGCCACGGATGCCCAGATGACGAAGATCCAGATTATGAAGGTAATGAAGAACCCGACGACAAGCCACCTACCTACAGAGAAACTATACCAGAAGAAGAACCAACCATCCTGCTGCGACATTTGCAGATCCATTCATTACAGCAAGTTCTTGGTTCTACCAGAAGTGTCATTTCTAAAATGACATCAGGCCGAGAGCTCAGTATCTTCCGCAGACCGGCGTGATTACAATGAAGATAATCACAGTACCCATGGTTTGCAATTCTTCAAGGCCTGGGAGCACGTCGGAGACAGGTACGATGACCTGAACAAATTTGCTCGATCTGCGAGATTTATCAAAGACATCATGATGTGCCTGAGAGATCCATCATCGACCTGGCACATGCAAATGGTTCCCACGGCATTCAATTACCAAGGCTATGTTGATCTTTCTTCGACACCTCGTACTGTGATAGCGTTGGCGAGGCTCAAGACCAATGAGAAACACATGTGGGTGCTGCTCAGCTGATACTATTTCTCCAGGAGAAGATACACCAGAACCGAACAGCAAGCATACTGTGGAGAGAGCTGGAAGAATTCGATTGGACACCATCCCCGGAGATCTGTTCATATTGCGGCATAAACGGGTTGCTACTTATAACATCCCTTTTCGACGTCTCCAAGAGCAGATGCTGTATGGCAACTACATACAGGGGTGATCTTCCTGGACCACCACCACGAGACTCAAGGAAGCCCAGCATTTATACTTTGCACCACTTTCAGGACAGACACAATATAGAGAACGGGATTCCCGAGAAGAGGCGCCAGAGATTTGGCAGAGAAATCCACCAAGGCCGGGTTCATCACAAAGAGCCCCAAACAAGGCACCTCGTCCTCACACACAGGGAAGCTCTGGAAGTCGTGTGCAACATTAAGGCAAGGTGACGAGAAATTCAACGAGACAGATGTCCAGGCAAGCATATTTGCCTGTTACCGCCGCTATGAAAGGAATTCTTCAGGATAAATGCGTGAATCCTGGAAAGATTCGAGGAAAGAAGGGAAGAATCCATAACAAATTCTCTCTCCGGAGTTATTCGAAAGTTTCATTTTTCATGAACTTCAACAATATCTTCCACGCATTGCGCTGTTCCTACACAGGTTCGATGACGCTGAGGAAAGGTTCGACCTCGTGAATGGCCATACGTTATCCACAACGACAAGGCGCGGTCGAGAAGATGATCATGTGCGTGGACATAGACGAGCGCAACCCGCACAAGGGAATGAAAATCAACTTTGATCAGTGCTGGGTCATGAAGTGTGAAATATGGGAAGGACTTGCAGGAGATCAGCAACATAATATCCAAACTTCTGGATTTGTATTCTCAATCATGCTCGCAAAGAAGGACAAGAGAGAGAGCCGATGAAACATGGAGCTTCAGAACCAGCAAATCCTCCTTGGAAGGCCCACCTGAACCCCAAGCCGGCAAGATAATCAATAACCCATCAGGCTGGACCTTACTAACTCCCAGATTTGACTTGGTGATCTTCTCGCCATAGTAGACGTAGGTGCAGCGATCCGAGGCCATAAGACCTCAGGTCTGAGTCAAGAATGATGCACCACCGAATGTTGCACCGTTGCCTCGGTGCATCATTGAACCGCCCCCAAAAGATACGCCCCCAAAAGGTACGCAGAACAAGCCTCCGGGCCAACTGCAGCGATCCTTGGAAGTCGTGGTCCTGGAACAACTGGAACTACAACTGGGGCGGCTGCAGTAAGCGACAAAATTAGATTCTGCAAGTCAGAGCCACCGTGAACGAGAAGCAACCCATGATGGACAGCTCCGCAAGAAGACAAACCCCCGAACTACAATAGAGAAAGCGCAGGGAATGGTGATGATTTCAGGTATTTCGACTGGAAGAGGATGTCTAAACAACTTTATGAAGCCGCAACGGAGCTCATGAACAAGCTGACAGAATCAGGGTTCAAGTCTGACAAGAAGAAACTCCGGGTCTCCAATGCTTACACTGCCAACCGGATTCACCAACCTCCAGCTCGGCAGTATTGGCACTATTCTTCTGAGGGACGTAGATGCTGATTCCCTCTCCTACAATGAGAAGGACAGACTTGGGCAGCGTTGTGTGAACAACAACCGGAAGTTATCCGGTCAGAGTCGCAAGTGGAGTCCAGGGACTCACATCCAATGATCCCCCCAAAAAAGAGAAAGGCGTGTTTGGAGATCCTCAAGCATGTGCAGTCCACAAGGACAAAGAAAACCAACCGGCGATGAGATGGAACACACGAAGTTTCGAGTATGAGTTGCAGGAAGTGGTTCTCCCGCGCTGGATCTGTTCACGGAATCTTCTGCTCCAGGCGTGGCCCAAGTCAGCGACTTGGTCAGCGCATAACGGCTGATAAGTTCAACCCTGGCTGTTGCACGAAGCAATCAATGTCCTCCCTGGGTCAGTGCAATGCCTGTTCATCTGCCTCAACTATGGCACCACAGCAGGACTGGAACATGATGGGTTCTACGGAGTCCTAGGTTGCTGGGTAACCCATGTCTTCCATTGGGCCAAGACGAACCGAATGAGAGATGTTTGAGAACGGAACATAACCGACGATCTCAAACCAGATGAGAATCAGCCACTGGGGAACATATTGGATTACAAGGTGAGCTCAGATCGGGTCAAGTGATTTTCCTTATTTGTTCGCCCCGGCTTGCCGAAATCTCTCACCGTGATTCTTGGCACAGGCATTTTCTACATTTGCCGAGCACATATCACAAGATTCTCGCTTTGAGCCCGTCAAAAAAGTTGCGCGTGTCCGTGCTCGGGTGTGTCGGAACCCAATAATATAACAGCTCCGGTACAATATACCAAGGTGCGATTTCTGCACTCCGTATGTTTCAGGCCCAGGAGCCGAGCGATTAAATCGCTCAACAACAGTATTGATTGAATCTGAGATGGAAAGAAACTTGTGATTGTTTTGTTTCTCATTTGTTCTGCGCTTGTGTCACAGCATCCACTCATGCAGCAATCTCATTGCCATTCCTGGCTCAAGGCCTGGTAGCCTGTGATACAGTTTACACTTGTTCCTATTTGAACCAAACACTGCTTACAATACATTTGCTCGTCTACCTCTTCAATACATATTTACCTTCTGCGTCGGAGTAGATTTTGTAGGGACCTACGAGCTGTATTCCGGGAATCCTTGGGACCCGACCCATTTACAACCTCAGGGAGGGGGGGTACCATGCAAGGCGGGGGGGGGGGGTTAATTTGGAGGGCGGCGGACGGGACTATGTATACAGACAGACAGATGCGACAGATGTGCAACACACAACACACGCGCACGCATACACTGATGCAGAGACATTGGAAAAAAACGCGCAGCCAAATAACAACGTAAAATAACATATAACAACAGGCAGACAGACAGAGGCAGACAGTTGCACGCCCACACAGACACATGCAAAGAATCTTCCCGCGACACACACACAAACAAACAAAGGCAGACAAACACAGCCAACACACACACACACCCAGACACCAGCAGCCACGCCCTGCGCGCAAAAAGTGCGAGGCTTTTCGCGCGCAAAGCTTTCCCCAGCTTTCGGCCAACGCCCGCTGGAATTTGCGCTGCCTAGTGTCTTAACCTTGTCATGGCCCACGTTCTGACCTCCTGAGTGTTGTCATCTACCGAGCTTAGGAGGTCAGAACGTGGACCATGACAATGTTGATTCGCACGCATTCCGGGCATTACAACGAAGAGTGGCCGCAACAGATAAAACGGAAGCATATCTCCTTGCAAAAAAACATGCGACAACACTGCGACAAGCTGTTTGCAAGGCGGGAGTGCGGCGCTGGCTTCGATTGCAATCATGCCGAGAGCGCCGCTGGCGCAGCTTCCGGCCCCGGTGTGGAGTTTGCTGGCGCTGGTGCCTCTAGCTTTGGCGCTGCCTGGCGCTTCGCGGCTTGGCGGGTTGGCCGAAGCGCCCCAACATCCTAGCCTGGGTCACTTGAGCACAACTGATCCTCATCAACATAACCGCTGTTCGTTTCCTGTTGGGCGTTGATTGATCATGTGGCTGCGTGTGTATGAGGCTGGCCTAGCTTCTTACTGCTGGCCTTCAAACACTGCCCCCCAAAGAGCACCACCGCGACAAAACCCCACCGGTTTCTTCCAGATTTCCTTTGAGTTCACAGCAAGATGCGGAGCGTTTCCAAATATAGGGTGAAAGGACATGTAGGTGAGCTGACAAAACTGGAAGCACCTATTCGAGCGTCCTGGAAGATGCTGGTTTCAGGCACTCGCTAGTTGCTTAGATCCGGGGCGTGCTAGCATCTGCCCAAACAGATTCAGCTCTAACTCCCAAAGCATTTCGTACTGACTCTCAGCTCAACCCTAGACTCATCATACTCACCCTAAATCCTAAACCTTCAAAGACTGCGACATCAGCTACGCGTGATGTGACGCGCAAACAAGCGAGGCACAGTTTGAGTGGAACTCAAGCTCTCAGCTTTGAAGGAGGTTATGAGGGCCTTCTTGAACATTAGGGTTTTGAATTGGGTGACGCTTCAAGGGAAGCTGGAAAGACACTAAAAGAACGCCCGTCAGCTTTGGGAGCCCAATTCCTGAAGGAAACGCAAAAAAGCCGCTCTGACGACGTCTTCAGGCCAGTCAGCCTGGTGTCCAGGTATTCAAGATCAACCTGCAGCCCAAAACTAGACCCCATTCAATTGAAGCGAAGGCTTGAGCGTTCAACCCAAAAAAAGGCGAGAGTTGACCACGCTCAAAGGTGAGAAGCTCAGTGCTTTCGAGGCTTCGCCAAGCTAACAAGCATCGGCACATCTTCTTGCGCCATTTCGAAAAGCGCTGGGCGAAATACAAACAGGCACAGCTTCATTTCCCTTGGTGAAATCGGCAGCGAGCCGATCCGCATGTGCGGCTGGCACACAATGGATACCGGTGTTCTCAACAGCTGTTCCGGCAAGTTGACCAGGGCGAATCCTTGCCCGGAAGGGAGGCGGTGAGTCGTGCCCGTTTCCATTTCTTGAGTCTTCGGCGCAAAGAGATAACGGAACTCTCAAACAAATGCCAAGCGCGTGTCCCAGCCCCGTTTGACAAACCAGGCAGCCTCATGGATCCTGTCGCTCCCGTGGCTCCCGGGGCTACGGCTCCCGGAAACGCCTGAGCGAACAGCTCCTCCTTCGCTTTCCGGGCTTCTTCGGCCGCCTACACTCAAGGTGCTGCGCAGGGCATGAAATCCGAACACCACTAGACCTCTGGGAACCGCTGAGTTGCTTTGCTCACCTGGGTATGTGTGTGCCTCTGGCTTTTGCGTTGTTAGCTTTAAAAGGCCGCATTTGTCACCATATATCGTGTAAATGGCAACTGTTCTCGCCCGAATGAACTTGTCCTGACCTGCTGGCAATTCCTTCCGACCAAACAATGAGCTGCCAGGATGCGCTAGCTGGTCTTGTAAACGACAATGTATAGATGAGACACGTCGCTTTGCCACAGCAATTCGGGGGTTCATTACCATCCCCACTCGCCAGAGAAAGTTGGCCTCCCCTGTTTTACCCGCGCTTCACACACACACACTTCCCGTGGGGAAGGTGCCAGTATATAGGTGCAGTAAGTTGAGGTTCAGAAGCACTCTTTGTGGCAATGCTGCGACCAAGTTGGAAGTTCTCTGCTTTCAGGCACACACCTGCCGCTGTGTCAGGAGTTGCGCCTCTGCAACAGTAATATCAAATAATTTTGGTAGCCTAAAAAAGCGGTCACTGACAGAGACCTTCAACATGGATGACCTTGTTTGGGCCCAGGCGAGCTCACCATACATCAGGCAATCAGAGCACGAGAGCTCAACACGCGCGCGAATCGGCCCAAAGCTGTTCTGCCAAACAGCAAGCAACCAAACAACCAAACAGCCCAACAACAGACCAGCAATGTACAACCACATGCTGTACTTGGGGGACATAGAATCTGGCCATCTGGTCGGGGCGCAAACAACCAAACAATCAAACAACTAACCACAACACCCTGCAGCTCCCAATGCCTGGCGTGCTTCTTGCGTGGCCGTCTTAGCATCCTGATCAACTCCACAACTAAACCGCCTCGATTGAAACTGGGGCCAACTTCTAGAGCAGCTGGATTGACGAGGGTTTAACATGACAGGCGCTTGTACGTTGCCCAATTTGGGACAAATACCACGCGACTCACATAACAGCAGCCCTTGCACAGGTGGTCTCCAAACCTACAGCGCTCATCTTCCCGGAGTTTCACAAGAGTGGTATGGAAGATCCTGTTTGGGGTGTGCCTGGGTCAGAGCCCAAAGCTGGCATTCAAGGTCCCCCCAAACGCCTATACATAATTAGAACTCTCGCCTACCATCACCAGCGTCTGGCTTTGACAAGGCTGTTCAGATGCGGTTTGGGAATCAGAGCACCTCAAAGTTATCCACAAAGATGAGGTAGTGGAACCCAGAACCAAAGCTGAGCTGGGACTGGGCTGGAGTTGTGATAGAGCTTGGTTTCAAGTTGGTTTGAAGGGTGTAAAAGCAGCAGCAGGGATCCGGGAGCTTTGCTTTGAAGGCATCGGTGACGTAGGTTGGCACAGCTCGTGGGTCCCGCAGGATCCGAATCGCCATCAGGGGGCAGCAGCCGTCGACGGCGGGGGCTGGCTGCTGATGGGGGGAGTGTGATCCAGTCCTGACGATTTCGGCTTAGTCAAGATGTTGGGGAGGCACCTTCCTTGGCACCAACCATTGTCTTCTGCTTGAAGAAGCCCAGTGTCTTTTTAGGCGCCCTTGGGGGGTCCTCATAACCGATGCTTGCGGTTGTGCGAGGAGCTTTGGCTGGCGGGGCAAACTTGGATTTGGGAGCAGCCTCGGGGGCAGCTCAGCAATCGTTTCCCAATCTTCCTCGGTTTGGGCTGGACCCTTCGTTCTTGCACGTCCATCAGTGTCGCCTGCACTTCAATAGGAGTCGTTGTAGAGGCGGAGTTTCGTCGCGCCAAGCCGATCATAAAAGGTGCTTGCCTTGCCGCAGGTGCAACATACGCTCGAACGTAGGGCATTGGTCAGCCTCAGTCCGTTCTGACACGCCTCTCTAGCATAGTTGAGGAACAGTATGCAGTAGTCGCGGTAAGCGTGAGCCTTGTCTTTGCTAGTGGCGCATTTTAGCAGATCGGTACGTGCCTTGCGATCACCTGGAGTTGTTCAGGTGCGTGACATGAAAGGGTTGAGATCCGTGTTTGACGATGCGGCAAACAAGGAAGTAACGCCCCAGCCACATCTTGGCAGCGCAGACGAACCGTCGCTTCTTCGAGCTTTTCCTTCATCCGCCTTGGGAGGCTCTTCCTGACGTGTCGACATTGCGACACGAGCGAACAAGGCCCCAATGAGTTCGAATTTCTCATCCATTTCGATGTCCGTGTGCGTCGCGTCGGGGTTGTGGATGTGGGTTGCCAGGGTGCGGCCCCCCCGCGCCCTCAGGGCTTGCTTCAAAGCCGCCTCAGCGACTTTTTTGCGTCTTCTCCTGCAGGTTTACTAAAATCAATAAATTACTTGTATATTACACCACAGACATGTGTTGAAACAGTTCGGGGAAGTACTTGCAATGAGCATCATGGGCCAGACCGAAAAATGTAGGAGCAACCCCTTGCGGCATGCCAGATTTTTGTCAGTCACGAGTAAGCCTGTTTCTTACATGACACTCTTAGTTTTCCGTAAGCGTGTCACGTCAAAAGTAAACGCAAGCATGGCCAGGCATATGCCATGGGGCGGGTTTCTTACCTGAGCTTTTGCGGCTACTTGAGCCTCACAAGTGAACTCACACGCGGCGAAGAAAGTGTGGCGGGTTTCTCGCGTCTGTCTCGCTTTGGAATGAGCCCGGTCATGTCGCGCGCGTTGGATTGTGCGGTACACACGCGGTTCCCATGAAAGCTCCCCGTGCTGTAGGTGCACACCACGTGTGTCGGAGCAGGGTCTGGTGAGTCACTATAAACCAAACTACTAGTCGTCATAAATTGGCTTTGGGCCAAGTGTTTGACGGTGTAAAATTTGAGCACCTGCTTGAGAGGCTTTCTGAAAAATGTGTTGCTTACCTGACACATGCTCTAGGGCGCAACGAGTTTAATGGCCTGTAACAGCCGCCTGCGACGGCAATCTGCAGATTGAACAAAATTACTAACCTTGCAACAATTCTCAAAATCAAACGAAGCAACTGCAAAACACTAGTTTCTAATTACGTTTCGGAAGGAAGCGCGCGAGGAATGCTACGCATGTGGTTGGGCTTCCCGCGTCGCAGGTAGAAAGTCAGGTGTGCCTCAATCCACGGTGCACCGGCTAGCGTTGCACTTCTACTTGAGCTTCCTGCACGCAAGGCGCGTGAAGATTCCAGTTGTCTAGCTAGGCAAGCTAAAGTCACAGATGAGGCCAGCCCCCACACCTCTCTTTCCAAAGCCCCGCATCAGTGTGAATTGCATGTAACAGCGCTCAGCTCGCTGTGCAACTTGAATTTCCATTCAAAGTGTATTGCGCCATGCCTGGCTTAGGACCAATTCTCAAGTCATGAACTCCCAGCCTTCTCCCGCGGCTGCTGCTATGTGTGGCACCGGTACGCACACGCCTGTTGAAAGCTGATTGGCCACCATCTCCCACAGCACGCATCCCAAATGAAAGCTGTGTCCACATAGCAGGGCTTCAATGGCCTGGGCAACATCACTAACACTCACTCATAGCGCTTTTCCTATATCACCTTTGTCATGCGAATCTCACAACTCAGCCAAGGAGCCGACTCATGCTGGACAGGCACTTCTGATTCAGAAAGCGGCATGCCTGACTTGAGTAGCGAGTTCGCACAAGCACTCAGAAGTGACAAAGCAAGCCGCAAAGTTAGGGAAGTGACTACGCACGGCGAACACTGAGTCATGTTGTGATGTTCAACTCAACTAGCGATGAATCGGAACTCATGTCATCACGTCATGTCTGTGTCCGACAGTTTTATGCAAACTGTCCAGTTCACAACTCATGTTCCGGCGCCTAGCCATTTTTCCAGCCACTGCCAACCCTGCAGATCGGCGTCAAAGTATTTCGATACTGCATCATAATCCTGGCTCAACAAATGTTTGGCTGCTGCAATCGCTTCACGGTGATCGCTTGCACGCACCTCTGGTTCAAAGTCCAGCTATGCAGCATGAACCCCCGTCTGTGCCACGTGTTGAGAGATCTCTTGTGAGAAGTAAGGCCCTTGAACTGCATCAAAAACACACAGAGTGCACCGCTGGGTCTGTTTGCTTCGCCATGGCAATGAGAAAGAATATCATACTAGCGGGCGCCATGCCTGTCACTGTCGCTGTCAACGTCAACAAACAGTGCGCAGGGCCTGGACGCTTCTTACCCAACTCATCTGAGTCCCTGGTGACACCTGATTTGTCATATCCACGAGAAATAAAAATCAAAATGCCACGGCGTTCGAAATAACCAATTTGCCGGCTCGCCAGGAAGTGTGGACCTGCGATCATCGTCCTCCCCACAGTGGTTGTTTTGGCCTTGGCGCACAAAGAGCAGCGGCCAAGCTGCCCAAAACACACACACACACACACACGCATTGCTGGGACGCCCGCGCAATCAGCTCTGGATGAGCCTGCGCGGCAGAGCCAACGATGCTGGAAGGAAATTGCGATGACTGAGCGACCCTGCCACCTCTTCACTTTCAAAGTCAGCCGAACCTGTTTTGTCAGAGGTAGTGGGGCCACGCCTGTCCAACGAGCGCGCGCAGAGTACCTCAAGGCCGCAAAGCTCACGCTAAGTTTGAAACAGGCTATGCAAATTCCGCGTGGGCCCACAAGCGGTAAAACTGGCACCCCGAACTCTAGACCCCCTGTTCGAGACATGGCCGAAGGTTAAAAATTGAATGAGCCTTTTAGTTTACGGCCAAAGAAACGACATGCTCCTGTCCAAAAAGGCCAAGCTTGCCAAAGCTTACGCGCCTCAAATTGAACAAGGTTTTCCTCAAATTCAGCGCGCCAAAGCGAAGCCAAGGTTGAGGAAGATGCCAAATTTTGAAGCGTTGGCGGAGACAGCGATGTCAAAAAGGTTCTTTGCGATGTTTTCTTATTTTCGGCGAAGTCTCCGAATCCTGCCCAGTCCGTTTGGAGCGAATAAGCAAACCGGAGGGCAACATTGAGAAGAATATAGTTATCTCTTTCTCGGTAGCGAAGGTGAAGTGATGGTCCCGGCATAGGAACCATCATGCAACGCATACGTCATGGCGTGATTCCTACTTTTGGGGAAAGAGACAGTACAAGACTTTCGTCGTAGTTGCTCTTGCGTGTCTTCTGCGCCGCGCTGAAACATGTTGTTTCGCGAAGATGTAAGCGCCTGCTTGCGCGCAAGACTCGTAGCATCAAGCAGACACGTGCTTTTCTTGCACTTGTTCCGCAGGCGTTGCTAGTAGTTCTTGCGCGCTTCTGCGCTGTGCTGAAACATGTGGTTTTGGCAAGATGTAAGCGCCTGCTTGGGAGCGAGTCACTCGCAGCATCAAACAGACACGTGCTTTTCTTGTACTTGTTCCGCGTGCGATTCTAGTAGTAGTTCGTGCATGCTTCTGCGCTGCGCTGAAACATGTTTTCGCGAAGATGTTAGCGCCTGCTTGCGCGAGCAGGAGCGGCAGGCGGCTTGAGCTCAGAAGGGGCAAGGTGGGCGATGTAGGATGTCATGAAGCCCTTCTTGAACATGCCAATAATGCGCAAGTTCTTGCTCTAGGTGTTCCTGTGGACACAAGCCTTTGTGAAAATGTCTGCACCTTCATGATTAGTCTGGAGGGCAGGCGGCGAATCTGAATACGCCGTTGCGCAAGGAGGCCAAGTCGCGAGTTGCTTAGGCTGGGCGAGCTATGAAGTCTTCGCTGTCGTGAGGGCAAGATAACGCAGAGCGTGGAGTTTCATGAGTTTTCACGGCTTTTTTTCCGGCGTAGTAACAGCGTTTCAGTTTCACGCGCGAGTTCTCACGGCCGTTCGGCCGAGCTTTCACGGCCTTACGGGGCCAACGAGCGCAACTGGCCGAGGCCATTAACTTGGGGCTTGGAT